CTGAAGTCAAAACGTTCATAATTGATGTCTTTTCGTACGATTTTGTTCAATATCTTCTAATTTATTGCTCTTTTTATCATATTATTTAGACTACAATAGTTTTTTCTTAAGGTTTTGGAACTTTTTTACTCAAGAAAGTTTCCATTTTGCTTTTCACGCGCCTTCAACTAAAGTAACAAAATTTGAGCTTGAAAATTTGAGCTTGAAAATTTGAGCAAAATTTAACTTTATTAATTTATTTAGTGGGAAAATTCAATCATTTTAGCTTATAAATCTTATATTTTATTTGACTTTTCCTATTTACCTTGAAATTTTTGAGAACTTGTCGAAGTTTTTTTCGCGCGCTTTCCAAGTTGCGAGATAAAGTTGCGAAATATGACTTCTAAGTAACGATTTTACTTTATTGTTAGAGATTTAGACAAAATAATCTCAAACTTAAAGTTTTATTTCATTTTTAGGACTATTTAACTAAATTTTAATGGATTTTGTCCAAGTTTTTATTTTCGCGCGCTTTTCATTTTCATTTGGAAAAGTCGACGACGAGAAAATTCAGATATATCAAACATTTGTTATCAATTAAAACAATTGTTTTTACGATTCTCAGTCTTCTTAAAAAATGTTTTTCCATCATATACTTATATATTTTCTACTTTTCAGATCATTATTGGAAGTGGTTATATAAAGTACCTAGAAGCAAGAAGAAGCCTACCGTGTATTGTAAGAATGAGTKGTTGGAAGATCTTAAGAACAAGTGCAAATTTGCATTACATTTTTAARGATTTCGTTTCGGCTGCCTCGATCTTGTTCTTGATCTTCTTATTTTTGCATTGCAGTTAGATGGAAAAGGGCTGGTAAATGAGTAGTTCCTAAATCAAAAAGGAACTTGTTCAAAGAACAAACTCACTAGGTTAGTTTTTGACTTGCAAACATTTGTGAAAATATTCCATTGTCATTGTCATACGTTGATTTTGGCTCTTATGTTGCAAGTCAAAATATTCTGCAATGCTTTGTTTTTTGGTCGATCTGGAAAGTTTTTAGGTTAGTCGTAAGAGGGGACCAGATGCAAGGCTGGTCCCAGGGATTATTTGTTTTACAAGAAGCTACCACTATCTTAAAACTAAGAGGGGTATGGCGGATTATTAGCGTTTTTGACTGGTCCTCTAGACCAGGGTCAATTGGCCAATACTAGGTTAGTTTTTCAAATGAACTTTAGTCATCAAGTTGGCAACGCTTAACGTCGATGAAGACACAGGATCTACACATAGTAAGGTGTGAACTTTAGTTTACTGGAGTTCAGGCTTACTTGAGTAACGCTGGCCAGTACAGATCACTCACTCCCCTCACACAGCGCCTAAGGTTGGATGTTTAATATTAGACTGGCTAGTTGCGTACTCTCGTAAGTCTAGGTACAGTCAGGATGACCAGACGGATTAACCATGGTCCTTGCCCCTACCCTCGGTGGATGGTTGTGATAAAATCCTGACTTGCTGCTCCAGTGTAGTCTTGCTTTTCAGTCGTGGTTCAAGTCTACCAAGAACAGCCAAACTCGGCTGCCTCTAGAAGAGAAGACGAGTCTGCGATAGTTTTCTGTTTTATCATGCATCGGGCATATCAGTGGTAGCTTCTTTAGGATAGAATTTTCCACAAAACTAGAAACGTTTATAATTGATGTTTTGCATATTTTTCTTTCCTTTCTTTTTCTTTTTCTTTTCTATTTCTTCCACAGGTTGTTWTATATTTAATTTATTATAGCTTTAAATGTTTCTTTTTGATTGAAACTTGATTGGCTTGATTGTTAGGCATTGATAGATCTTTAGTTTAGATACTTTCTTATAGATTTCAGTATCGATCGAGGTTTTGTACAATTTTCAGACCGTTCAGTCTCATTTCGTCTGTTCGATACCATGWAATAAGTGATGACGTTCGGATTTTTCTCTTCGTTTTGATTCGATCATTTCGATATATTCATATTAAGATTAACATGTAGGCCTATTAATATAATAAGGTTTGGGTCTTGGATATTCCAGCTCTCTCTGAAGTGTTAGGTACTTCCTTGAGAATCCTGGAATATCCTCCCTCTTT